GCAAAACAAATACCATATGGAAATTATGCATCTGTACCTATATGTTTTATTAAAGGGTAAGGAAAAGAAACATAAAATAATATTCAATGTGAACAAGGCTTATACTGGGTTAGTACACTTTCTAGAGATTTACAGCATAGCTTTACCGGTAAGTATTTTATATCCGTAAGCTATCTTCTCAAAGGTAATAGCAAAGTTTTATAACTCCTATATTTAGAACGGCCTATGTTGAGGTGAAATAACCAAGGAATTTATTGGAAATGTAAAAATGAAATACGTAAATTTTGTATCTGTAGACATCGGCACGCTGTGGTATTTTTATTGAATAAACACGTTTCTTTATTGAAAAGGCGACAAAAATATAGAAATAGTTCAGTTGAATCTAACATCAAAACATCTAAATGCTAACAAACTAACTAAGAAGTACTTTGAATATCAAAAAAATAACAATATAGCAAAAATACTATAAAATACTTGAACAAAACGAAAATTCATATTCAAATCCACTTTTTTAGTAATAAAAAAGAAACGATAAATATTCGTGGACATATTTGTAAATAAACGGAAACACGAACTTCCATCCTTCGAATAGAATAAATAGGTGTTGAGAAAATGTTTGTAAAATCGATACGTTGGAGCTGTCAAAACTGACATTTTATTATTGACGTACGAGTACTTGACGTAACAGGCTATTTGACAGTATGGAAAAAATCTGCAATTAATAGTAATCTGTATAACACATGGTTTATGGAGTAAAATAAATTGTTGATTTATTCATTTAAAAATTTGACGTTTGTATCCATGTTAACAGTCACGGTAAGTCGTAGGGACTGGGGACTCCTAGTTAGGAGTAGTTACGTAAGACGTGGCTTCGGCATTTAAATCTACTAAAATTCTCCAATTATTACCAAGAACAAGACATGGCTAAATTCTGGGATATGGACTAAAGTCCTTTGCCATTCCCATTAGGGATAAATTAATGTCATCATCATCGTAGGGACTGGTCCGAGGCCATCTTGCCTAGACAAGCGTTTTGGCGGGTTCTTATAGTTATGAATGTTTTATTTAATTTTTATCAAAGCAACTTAACATAATTTAAAAATAATAATTTGTATGGCTTCTTTAGAGTAATTAATAAAAACATCTGAAATGCTTTAAAATCTTGACAATTACGTACCACAGAGCTCAAAACTCGATACTAACTTGTTTTTGCCCTAGGTACATCTAGATTCTAGAGCCTATCTATTAGCACTTAAAAATTCCCACTCCCACGCTATTTCACTGTTCGGTAGCGTTATCTGATTCATTATGACGCTGGTAAAAACTCGTCAATTTTCACAACGCTATGAATGTATGAACATGCGAAACGCTCATAACACTGCTAATAAATCATGAGAACATTTAGGCATAAGTTGCCCTCATGTGTGTTTTCTAAGAAGTTACACTTTGCTTAATGATATCAAATTATATCTGATTTATTACATATTGAATAATCAAGCGTTTGACCATAGGAAGTCTTTTGGAGGTAGCAAGTAGCCTTTCGTATTACACTGGGTGCGAAGATATACTGAACTCACACCAGATGTGCTGCTCTGTGTACTGCTCTGAGCAGTAGATACACACAAAAATCTTTATTTGCCGCCCGCGCATTCTAGAAAGCCACAACGGTTTTGTCGTCTGATTACGTCTAAATTGGGATAACGCTTATAGAAGATGGGAACTCTGTTATGTGTAGTGAAGCTAGGCAGGAACCGATTTTCTATATTATAATCGAACTACGTACCTATCGAACATATAAGTAAGAAAGATTTTTATTTTATTTTGTAGTATAATTAAGTTATGCCAAACAGGGCCATGGTTTATAGTTTGGGGTAACTGGCCGATGTGAATGGCCCTTGCTGTGCCAAGGTCCATTCACATCGGCACATCATTCGTGGCCATAGAGAACTTCAACGGCAACGTGATTTCAACGGCTGATCGCGTGGTAGGATGCGGATAAGGCTACGCTGTTACCGTGTCCTAGAGATTGCTGGTGGCACCGTGAGGGTTTAGTGGGTATGCACAGCAGCGAGTCCCACACAACCCTTCACCACGAGGCAACTGTGCCGCGGGAAGATATTAACGCATTTCTCCACGAAAAAAAAACTTCGTTCAATTCGTAATGAACAGACTTCAGAGAATGACTACTGATCTTCCGTAATTTTAAGACACGAGAAAAACAAACGTGTGTGTACTTATGTACACACGTTAGAAGTTATACTTCTTTGGTGAAAAAAGATAAAAAATATTTTCAAAAATTGTATTCTACGTTTGTAGAAAAAAGACACTAACAATAGAAAAAAGGTGTTTAATACATTGAAAGTTTTATAATAACGCATAATCTAGTTAAATAAAGTTTATTTAAATATCACAAAAAAAATCTACATAATTAAAGAAATGGACATTTTTTATTTTAGCATGTAACTTATACACATTGATATTTAATATTTAATTCACGTCCATTGGGTGGAGTTCAGTAGACATGTGAGTTTAAGCTAATACAGCATCAATAGTTGTATAAAAAAAAAAAAAAAATTGACTTTAGCTAGCTTCATGGTGTCGGTTTTATGTGACGGAATGCGCGTGCATCGTAAAAATTTACTCTCATGATTTTACCCTAACGCGCCAAAAGAAGTTTAAGTATAAAAGTTTGTCAGTGGTCTGTAACTCTGTAGTGCTTTCAGTCCAATTGTGTCGTCGTTAATCGAACTTACTAACCCGCATTGAACTTATGCGCGCGTACTTAGGTTAATAACTTTAACAGACACATTTTCTTATTTAGGGTTATACATTAAATGTTTCAACACTACTTTGTAGTACTGTTTTTGTTTTTAACTTACGCCACATGCTAGGGTAAGTGTGTTTATTTGTATAAGGGGACGGTTAAAACAGATGTGGGTTCTCCCTGGGAAACCGGATTAATCTCTTATTTTTTAAACAATCAGTCAACATCTTCTGTAATGACGTTATTATGAAGCCCTTATAGTCTTATTAACTAAAGAAGTCGTTCGATTCGATTCCATTTGGATTTACGCTATGATTGAAATATTTAATCGCTGTTGATTCAACAATAGTTTATATGTTTAATATACTTCCTGGGAACAACGGAGGATATTATGAATTATCACTCTGTATACACAATGTATCAAGGTTACATTTGATAAATATTAAGTGCACCATTAAAATCGGAAACTACAAAGTCACAAGTTGTTTTCCATTTTATATATAGAGTGAGGCAAAGAATAAAAGTTAAAATGGGAAAATGAAATGAATCATGGTTTTCGAAAACCTTTTAGAGCGCGGCCTCACGAAGCGGTAACGGTGCGGTGCGGCACCGCAATTACTTCGAGCTATAGGGTGCCACACGGGCGCTGCGGTGCAGTGTGGCAATATATTTTACACCTCCCCGCCTCGTCTCGCAAGTCCGGCGCGCTTGAGGAGCGACGCCGCGCGGCGGCGCATGGCGTCGTGTGACATGGTATAGTATTTTGTATGTATGATGACGATGCGGCACCGCTCCGACGCCGCACCGCACCATTACCGCATCGTGTGGCCGCGCTCTTACACGAGTAAACAGCTGTAAAAAATTGAATTTGGAATTCCTAACCAAAGAGAAGATATTTGAGGTCAAAGTACTATGACAAAACGTCAATTTCATAATATGTAAGGTTAGGTCCTTTATATAACTTAATTAGTTTTAGTACAAGCGATTTAATGGGCCACCAAGAGTAGGGTTCAGTCAAGAACTAGACTTTTTCTTTGTCAAAGCAAATAACATCGTCCAAATATTTAGGAGGTTCTAACGGGCAGATATTTTGTACATGCTTTGATCAAACCGCCAATTAAAATACCTTAGCTGACCAATCCATGTGGGTATTTGGTTGTTCTTTTTATATATGGAAGCCAATAGGTATTACTATAAAACAAAGCTTTAGCGTGGTTTGGAAGTAAACAAATACAGTCTTATTTGGTCTGTGTGGGTGATAAATGTATATTTTTAAATTTAAGACAATGTTTAATGAATATTTCCTCACAACGTTCTCCGTCGTATGAGCATAAATTTTGACAAAAAAATTATCATTGATACAGTTCGTAATCGCTCTTGAAAAGAACAATGATCTGACAAAGAACATAATTAATATAGCGACGAAACGTATATAGTTTGAAAGCAATATATTTTAATTAAAATAGTGTATTTTTCCTTTTGTCAAATATTTATGTCCAATTAATTTTGTCGGAACACTCGATTCGTCGCTTTTTCCGGAATGTGGCTCGTTTGGAGCTGGGAACGCCTCTCAGTTTGCCATCGAATAGTTTTTTTGTGTTTTTTATCTCGAAAATATTTGCAATATAAGAGAACTCTGTATCTGTGTGGTGCATAAAAGAAAATATTGATACTGGAATGATACGTATTTTAAAATAGAAATAAAAATACATATATGTATAATGTTTGAATTTTTTTTTTATATTAACCATTTCATTTGAAAAAATTGCTTGCATTTTTTAACTAGTATTCTTTTGTTTCTTTCCGTCAAATTATACGTTAAAGATAAATTAATACTTTAGTTGAAATAATACAAAAGATTGTTTTATTTTTTATGGGATTGTAAATATACAATAATAATATATAGTTTGTATTATAGTTTTGATTTATAGATAAGAAAATCTCTATAGATGCTGACTAAAGCTAGTTTTCTCACGATATTTGCCTGTAATAAATAAATGTTACACATTGTTACTTCAATCGAATTTTATATCTCCTTACAAAACTAAAGAGCAAACTTGGCAGTACCCTAAGGAGCTAATAATATTTTATAAGGCTATAAATAAATACAATCGGTTATTAACATCTTTTTTAATACACAATCACAATTAAAATACGTTTACATCTTTAAGTCAAACATACAATTACAAATAATAAAATATCACAATTATAAGTTATAAATCATAATTATTGCCATTTATCGCCGATAAAAACAGAGAAGTATGAATGTTAGAATACCAAGAAACATTAGGGATACAGCCAACACCTGAAACAAAAATTTCAAATTAATATCTAAGTACATGGCACTTGTGGCCCTTGGGTTCGATTTCCAACATCGGCCAAAATTAAAAATAAACTTCTATAGCTATAGACGTATGTCAGAGACCAAATACAGTATATAATAATTACAACAATTAAAGTATTTAGTATAAAGAAAAGTTATTTTTGGGGCCATATAATGCCTAGGGCTTCTAGAGGCTAATAGAACTCAAACAATTAAAGACCGCCGTACTCTTGATACAATTAGGGCTTTCTGTCACAGAAGATAAACTGCGGCGAGGACTATTTTAACACCGTATATATAAAAAAAATAAAACAGTCCAATTGCACCGTTCCAACCGAAGTACTCTTTGTCTCTTTTCACCACAGCGTAAATACAATTTGACAGAAAGAGCGAATTACTTACAAATAAATATGGTAGACATTTACCCCCTTATACGTTAATGTTTCCATGACGTACTGGTTAGGAAAAGGACCACGTATATTATTCAAAAATGATTTACTCGAACTGTCAAAAACTAACATTGTATAGAGGATACTGAAATACATACCTTATTTTGCCATTGGCGATTCTTGACGCAATCACTGTAAGGCATTGTGCTGAATGTAACAGAGTTGTACAGAGGCACCCATAGATCTGGCAAAAACCAAAATATCATGTCGTCCATTGCTTTGCGGAGTCTATACGATGGTCTTGTTACGAGATCACGCATCTGAAATGCAATATTTAAATATATTCCTGTATAAAAGCTTTAAAATGCACTTTCTTTTGTTTTATCGGATAGAAGACAAAGGAGCCTACGTCCCAACCATAAACGGCAGTCATTGCAGCCTATGAACTCCCGTTTTAGTTGGTGCATTGCCGGCCTTTGAGGTTGGAGGTCGTATTTCCCAAGGAAGACCCCAAAAGAAAATGCCTAGAGAAGCGGACCGTGAAATCCCATCCATCAAGGTGGTGCGGATGAAATTTGGAGTTAATAAGGCTCGTACGGTGATGAAACAAGACGGGAGTGATCAATCCAAACCCCTTTTAAGAACGCTCTCCATAGTAGGTACTTGACTTTGACTAATAATGTAAAATTCCTTAAGACAAATTTGCGCGCCCTCGTGTGTATATATGGCAGAATAACCTTAACATTTTGTACCATATTCTTGCAAGAAATAAATTATTATTATTATTATTACACTTTGTACAAAACGCATAGAGACGTAATTCTCTATTTCTCTGCGTAGAAATAGAGAATCAAGCCGATCATTAATACATTGGAGATTGACAATTTGACAAACTTCGTTGATAAATTCAACGAAGAGTTTGTCAAAATGTCAAAAGAAGGAAGCTGGTATTTAGGAGCACCAGCCCAGAAATGTGTGCAGTATTACGTATGAGGTCGTACTTGAGCTTTGTAGACCTGCATACGTTGTACCTCAGTGAAATACTGCTTACCCAAAACACCCGGCTTTTTGGAAGTCCCTTCCAGATGACTGCGGAATTGGACTCTATGTATACTGAGGCTGTGTAAAGTACTAAGGAAAGCACTTCACACCCCCACACACCTCCAGTATCGATTCAATTTTAGAAACAAGTTAGTTAGTTCGGGCGGTCGGAATAGAATATGTCGATGGCGCTGTCTTCTGCATAGGAATGATTTTATTGTTTGCACTACTCCTTGTGCTTCTAGCCAAGGTTGCCTGGAACGCTTACAAACGACACGGCCGCCCGTTGCACTCAGTTTTAGATATATACGTATTACTGTGTTTCTGCTTTTATTGTATGCACACATAAATATGAAGCATATAGGAACAGCGTACTTCATATTGAACCTTATCTATGCCACGTTAAAAATCCTCGAAAATTACCTCGATATAATTGTACATAGCTAGATCGCAAACTGCAAATGCATCCTTCCATCTTGTATTAGAAAACTCTGGTAGTATATCAGCGAGGTTGTCGCTGTGTTTTTTAAATAGCTGATCCAATATTGTGCAGTCTTCGAAGCCAGCGTTCATGCCCTGGCCATAAAATGGCACTACTGCATGTGATGCGTCACCTATTATAAGAGCCTTGTCTGATACGTGGTACGGACGGCACTGAAACAATAAAAACAATCATTTTGTGTTAAGAATTTTTTTTATGATTAATTATGTTTTTTTTTAAAGAAAATTCACACTAATTGACGTAGTCCCATGCTAAGCTAGTGAAGCTTGTGTTGTGGGTACTAGGCAACGGATATACATACATATTATAGATAGATAGACATATAAATACATATTTAAGCACCCAAGACCTAAGCACAACACCAAATGCTCATCACATCCATGTTCGTCTCAGCCGGGGATCGAACCCGGGACCCATGGATTCGCAGTCAGGGGTACTAACCACTAGACCAATGAGTCGATAGATGATGTCGAAATGATGAAAGTGATTTAATTAATATTTTTTGGTGAAATTTGAAAATTCACTAATTGTTTTGTCCCAAAAATCACTATAGATGGATGAAATTTTTTTGTTATTAACGCAAGGGAAGATATTGTGATCCAATTCCACTGGCTACTTTATATTTAAAGTATTTTATCAAATAATAAGCGAAAAAAGGTCATTATGGCGTGGGAGAAAAAACAGTAGACTTATGGGGATGGTGGTGCATTTTTCTTCTAACTTAAAGGTCCTTTACCAGTCTAACCATTCTATCACCCTAGTGGCTAGAAGCTGGTCGAGAAGTAGTATATATCCGAAGCGGTCGGAATAATAGTTTAGGTATATATATATATATACATACATTCCGCTATATATCATCGCATCGTAAGACTTTTCGTGGATATTTTGACTTAGGACTATACTAAGCAAATTAATGAATGCAATAAAACTTTCTCCTATTAATTGAGGTTCTTGAAGACCATTGTAACTCCAAGGTTGTCCGTTGAAGTGCAACACTAAATACTATTTATTCAATTAAAGCTTGAAAGGATGAAACAAATAGAAAATCCACTTTACAACATCGAAAGTAATTTACCTTGACTGTAATAAGCGGTGAGGGAGACCCATTAAAATAATCCTGGATCAATTTCTTTTCGCCGATCAAAGGGACAGAGTCCGGGAAGTATTTGTCAAAGAATTCGAGAAGTTTGCTCTCTGAGTCAATGCTTCTAAAATTCACAAACGGCATGAACAATGTCACCGTCCAGGAACAGTCCTGGTTTGGAAGGGCAATCATCATGAAGTTACCGCGAGGCCAGATGTGAAGATAATTCGGCGGCATCTGAAACTAAAAAGTATCTAAAGTAAGACTTACTGAACAAGAAGAGTGTGCAGAATTTTAAAAGGTTAGTATTAGTTTTTAATCGAAATTAATAAAGTACAACTATGGTCGTATTTTACACAAACAATTCAAAAACAAAACAACATTTATACCTATCAAATTAAAAAATACAACTACATGAACTACAAAATACACATCGAGTTGTAAGTGCTGTCAACATGACTCGACGAAACCATGTCCTTTTCGCTACTATACAGTGTACATACTAAATATTTTATGTGACTAAGAAATATTATACAAAAAATTATTTCTTTAAAGTCATAAAGTATACATCCATATCGTTATAATAATAGAGCAGTTTGGCCTAGTGGCTTCAGCGTGCAACTCTTATACCTGAGGTCGTAGGTTCTATCCCCGGCTGTGCACCAATGGACTTTATCTGTGCGCATTTAACATTTGCTCGAACGGTGAACGAAACATCGTGAGGAAACCGACATGTCTTAGACCCAAAAAGTTGACGGCGTGTGTGTGGAGGCAGATCACCTACTTGCCTATTAGATTTAAAAATGATCATGAAACAGATTCAGAAATCTGAGGCCAAGACCTAAAGAGCAACCTCTTTATATAGCGCCACTGATTCATTTATTTATTTTATATCGTTATAATAGTCCTTATACAAAAATTATGTATCATTTTAGTTGGTTTACGTACAATATGTAAGCAAAGGATTTTATCTAAGAGACGTATTTCAAACAAAAGTGAGCCGCTTTTTTAAGTGTGGCCTGTTACAACACTATTTCTATTTATATTTTGCTAACATAACAGGAAGACAAATAACAGTTCACCTATCTACAGGCAGATTATATACAGTCTTGAAATTGGCTGTTGTTCGTGTAGCTTTCTGTTTCTTATTATGGGCTATATTATTTCATTTATTATATTTGCAATTGACATTTTTAAATCTGTTGTTGGTGTGAACTAACATTAAAATCATAATACAATCGTTAATCTCATCAAAAATCATTGAATAACTCATGCTTGTAATGCCCAAGAAAATATTGCAATATCTATATTTGTTTTAATTCATTCCGTTGACTTATTTACAAATTCAAATGTCATGGTCAGTGGCTTGTTTCACGATCCAAATAAATTACAGTCATACAAATCTTGATTGAAATTTCACTTTAGACTTAGGTAACATTTGTTGTAATTAATATGTAATTTCTGTAACTATTGCTGTATAATTGCAGCTCATGTTTACCCAACTTAACTACGGGTTTCTTATTTGTTTATGTATAATTGTTATTTACCTTTCACGATATCCAATACTATAAAACAAGGTATCGTATCTAGATTAATTAATCGTACAAAAATGGGTTCAATGAAAGCAGTGCTGCTTCTTTTTCCGATCATACTGGTAAAGTATTGTGTATTATCTTTAGTGAACAACTCAGCTATTCTTGATAAAGTTTATAATGGAGAGGATAATTTGAATTCAGAATGTGTAAAAAAATTAATCACCGAACACCAATGCGGAACTCATATTACTATCGTCGTTCCCGATGCTAATTTCCAAAATTTTATTAATATAAATAGCATCTGTTATGATTATGTCATTGTAACATACGAACCTATCGAATTGCCATTTAATACCAATTTATATCTTATCTACTATAAGATAAATAAAACAGGACCTTCAATTTGGAAACTGAGATATTACAAATATTGGAATCCAAATGCGAAATTTTTGTTTGTAACAACATCTGAAGTACAATATCCTGAATTAAAGCAAATCTTTCGCAAGTTATTAGAATATTACATTTTCAATGTAACTGTATTGACACAAATAAATAAAACACAAGGTTCGTGGACTTTTTATCCTCTTAAAGATGGCAACTGTCGTTCAAATTACGATAAATTAGAATACCTAGGAAGTTGCGTTAACAATGACATCTTTCCCATCGCAAAAGACTTATCGAACTGTACAGTTTTGGTAACGGGAAATAAAATTGTGAATAAAAACTCATATATCAATTACATACAATATTTAGAAAAATATCTAATAAATGTGACTTCAGAAGCTATTGGTGTCAAGATAAAATATTCTTTTGAAGACTACGATACTAACGATGGAGAAGTGTTGAGTAACTATACATCTGTCGGAATGTTAAATTATCTTCAAAGAAGGAAAGCGGATATTGTTTTTGGAGGATTTTTTCTCACAGAAGGAAGAGCATCTATTTACGACTTTGTTTATGGTTACAAATATACAAGTATCAAGCTGTTGGTACCTAACTCGGGACCAAAACGTTGGAAAATATTTTACAGAATCTTTAGGATGTGGAATTGGAGTCTAATTGCATGTGCTTTTATTTGTATGACTGTGCTAACAATGGCTATTAGTTACTACTGCTTTCAGATAAAACGTACTAGCAGAATCCCTCTTCATTTAATTGATTATTTCTTTGGCCACTCCGATAGGAATTTGTTTAAAGTGAAAAAGCTGAGAATAATTTTGATATTTTGGGTTTTCTTCACTTTTTTTATTGGGAGTTTTTATAACAGTGAAATCTTTTCTTTATTAACTAAACCAGGCTATGAGCCACAGTCGTACAGGTGCGAATTACTTCAGCAAAATGGGTACACGGCTTGCATTTCTGATTCCCTTCGCGCGTACATTGATATAGTATACAACGTAACACAACCAGATAAACAGGTACCGGAATGTAAAAACACTGAAGATGTATTAAATACAATAACCACGCGTGAAAACTATTACACCATAGCAGATTACTCCCAGTTCCACAATAATCTTTGTCACTATAATACTCGTTTTTATGTAAAAGATATGTTAAACAATATAATTTACGCTCTTTACACAAACAAAGGTTTTTTCTTAAAAGAAAAGTTTAAGAGAATAGTTAGTGCTATATTTGAATCTGGTATTATACAAGATAGTCGCATATACAGCTTGATAAGCAAAGTTTGTTCAAAACAGCCTCATCAATCCGAACAAAAATATAAAGTGCTTTCGTTACACGACCTCCAACTATCATTCTGTATCCTTTTAACGGGCTATTTCATTTCTCTGGTAGTTTTTCTCGTCGAATGTATTTATGGAAAATACACATCTTAAATATTGTGTTTTGTTTTTAACCGCCTAGATCAGTTTTGGTAGCATAAATAATATATCAAATAATCTATACCAAACTAAAATCTAAATATCCGTTTATCTTTGTGATAGGGAATTGTAATGTGTTATTTTAATAATTTCTAATGGTAATAATTGTGGCGCAAAAAATGTAAATAATATACTTACTCCATCATCTTTACCGGGCGGTATACACAACTCCAAGTAACCGTGTTCTATGTACTGCTGACTGAAGTCAAACAAGGGCTGTTTAAGCATTGCTCGGCGGACAGTAGAGAATGCCCCGTCAGCACCAATGATTAGATCAGCTTTTACCGAAACCTTCTCCTTCGTATCCGTTCTGAAATTGAATAGAATTAAAGAAATAAGTTAATGCGGGTTTGTGAATGAGTCACCAAGATTAACAATTCAATATTAATATTATATACTAAAAGCTAGTACTTTTCTCAATCCTTGGTTGTGCGTCAATGGCTTCCATGCCAACTATGATAATGGTTAATGGCGGAAAAAGATATTGACGTGACAACGTCTTATAATGTAGCCGCTGCACACGAAAAACATGACTCATGCGGGTTACCTCGCTCTGAGGTTACCTCTCTCTGAGGGTTACTCGCCTGTCGTTACCTCGCTCTGAGGCGTTCCATTTAAAATTGACATTTGTATTTATGCGTACAAATATGTAACTTGATCAATTCAATTGTGATTTCCATTTACCTCCTTCTCTATATCCTACAACTCAACAAATAAAATTTATTTTTTTTTGAAAAATGCAACCATCCCATCAATATTTTTTTATGACGTTGTACGTTCAACTATGTAGTAAACCGACTTTACAGACAACCGATTTTTTTTAAAATGTAATCGATTATGTGTTAAACTAAACTCTTTTAACAAATGTACTTTCGTCTATTTCAGTCAAATTGTTTTTACGTATGTTGAATAGAGACAGACAAGTAATTTAAAACAGTGCAATGCGGATGCTTTTATATAAATGATGTGTTAGTGTTTAAGTTAATGCAACTGGATTAAAATAAAATATAATTCATACAAAATGCAAAATTGTGAAGAGGCAAATAAACTTAATATTATAGGGTAAAGTATTTTAGCAAATTGCGTGTCCAGTGTTATAGTGCACTGATTTCTAAATATTCTAAGGTAAGATTTAGGTCCCGTTTTTTGAAATATCTTTTTAAAAAAACAAAAAAAAGATCTTTTTAGAATGTGGTATAGATTTGTTTTGAAATACGGACCTAAGGCACTTTAGGGTTTCACGTTTTTTAGAGTTAACGGTCATTTACGCTATTTAGTAAAGATTTAATCATACCAAAGATCTAAAAAATGTTTTTCACTGTCCTATATAATGTCAATAAATGTCATAAATAAATTAATTTAATCGGTTAGGTTTTTTCTCCATATATACTACGTTAATTATTACGGATTTGCGGTTAATATTCCACTGTAATTGTACTTACTTGATAAAAGATAGTTCGCCATTTGGCAAATTTGTTTCAACAAGTTTGTGATTGAAATTCCTTGTCACATTTTTATAATTCTCGGATTCTGAAATATTTAGGCATAACTGTATTAAATATCTTTCACTACTATATATTTAAATATTTTTAAGATTATATACTTTACTGGATACGCCAGTACTACTCTACATTTCTTAGGTTTTTAAAAAATAAATTAATATAAACGCGAATTTATTAAATTATTTACACAAGTTTACGTTTCGCGTGCGTAACAGCAGTCGTGGTTTACAAGAGAAACGGTGACTTATATAAATTCGCGATTATATTCGTTAATCACTTAAATAACGTTTTAAAAGCACTGTAGTATTTAAATTATATGATAATTACCTTTTAGGAGAATGCTGTTCAAATAATTTCGTCCTACTGAATAAATGCTCTGAAAAATATAATTGTATTATTATCACTTTAAATGTATCCCTTCGTTCGTATCAAGACTTATGAATTTTTCTTTCTATATGGGATATTAACACTTGCTCCTTTAGTGAAGGTTAAAACCCACGAATCGACGACCTCCATTCGGCAAAGAAGACTGCTTGTCAAAAAATTAATCCGGGCGACATGTAACATATAGGTAATGTAGCTAATAAACAATGTGTGTTTAAATAACGATAATTACTATAGATATAAAGCTTTATACCCAAAAAGTGGACGGTGTGTGCGTCAGGCACATAAGGCTCATCAACTTTTTTTTTTCATTTCCGTGTTTGCGAGTGTGGGTGGCTATAACAGCGCTACACACTAAACCCCTCCCACCCGCGTTAGCATTCTACCAAGAGACCACGTGACTAATTGCTACCGCAACCATCTTTCATTACATTAGCATCGCCATACAAGTCTTTACAGTAGAGATGCAATTTCTTTCGCACATACAACGCACGTTGCGTTGCGGGTACTTCCTCACATCCAGATTTATGTCCCGCTTTTCCGCCTTTTCACACATTGAGACGCCCGTGTATCCCCCAATTCCAAACATTAAATGAATTATAGAAAAAAGCGCTTTTAAATGAACGACTGCACCAAACTCCATCTAATTATGCACTCTCCTTCCACAATTTTTGCTATTGTAACCGGGCATAATACAAGCACACTTTCAATTTCTTAACGCTAAAAAAACCCTTTTCCCAGTTTGCCTTATTCGACAAGGCATTTAAATCAACAGTAACTGCGTCGTCAAGTCCTTTATCCCTGAGACACTATTTTTCTGGCCTTTCGCATTGTAATCAGCAAAACTTTTAACATACTGGCGAGTAAATTTGCCTTTTCTTTATTTAACTTGCTTTCTACCCCAATAAGACCTAACCTGTTGCTGCCCGCCTGATGTTTAAGTGACTTATGCCTGACTCAGGTAAACACTCTTGTCGTTGTTGAATGCAGAATTTCGCTATTCAGATGTTTCCCAAATTATTTTTAACTGCCCTGGATTGCCCTTCGATACCATTATCAGACCGGGCAAGAACCTCCTTTAAATACCTCAATTTCTTTCTTGGAATCTTCCAAGCGTATATTTACACGGGTTTATTTGTTGACATCTTAAGGAAGGTAGGGGATGAACCTTCTTTCGAAAACAATTATTATTTCGCTGCGAACACAGGAATTGTTGGTTAACGCACAGAGACAGTATCATTACTTGAAAAAAAGCCAGTGGCAGTGGTTTTTTAGGTCTGGATCTCATATTTTTGTAACTTAATCATCCTCAGGATTAACTATTATGAAAAAAACCAGACGTTCGACCCCGACGGACTTCATTTAATAATATGAACCTAAGGATTTGAGAGTGCTCATAGCCAAATTACAAACATCTCTAAAAGTTGCAATTTGAAATTCAAATATTATACTATTTTTCTACTCTTAAATGTGCCTTGTAATTCCACCAGTTTCTGAATTACACCAATGTTTTTATTATATCTTTACTAAAAGTGGCGTAACTATACAATCTGGGCCCCGTGGCAAATTCTTTTCATGGGACCCTATCTGAAATCGTCACGTTTAGTTTGAATAAACTTCGAGATTTTCAGCGTACTCAATTACACGTTGTATATGTCCCACTAATGGCCATAGGCCTCCTATCTTAGGCGAGAGGGAATGGTCTGTAGTCCCGACGTTAGCCCATTGCGTATTGGAGACTTCACATTCATCCATAGAACATATTATCTCTTGAGCAGGGGCCCTCTTGGGTCGGGGGCCCGTGGTATTTTTCCAGCCCGGCCGCCCTATTGTTACGCCACTGTTTACTAATATTATAAAGTTTAAGACTTTGTTTGATTGCGTTCTAGATTCTCGGGAACTATTTCAATGAAAATATTTATATTGTGATGAATTGCCTATTTGTCAAGTAAGGCGCTGCAGATCATACATTAACATATTATGTAATATGTAACATTAAAATATGTTTATTATTGACGTAATAGATTTAATTAATTGATACATTTGACGTAAGTAGACTTTGCGTGGGAATTATAAACTTAATTTAATTCAAATTTATGTACGAACCTTTAATCTAATTTATTTAAATAATTATTATTTATTTTTCAAGAAATCATTTTAAATAAAGGATGTCTTCTAATATGAATTATTATTTTGTGTGAAATGGACCTGCTTATGACAAAATCAACAAGTAGATGCAGAAATAAAAAAATACATAGAGATCTACCGCTCTGGATGATTAATATAATCCAGAACCTTATTTATTTACGCGAGTGAGTTACCGGCCTTTTAATAATTGGTACGCTTTTTTCTAAGTCGAATTGGTTCGGAAATACTTCCGTTTCCACATAGCAATGGAGCGCGGCAGAAATTACCTTAAGAATCGCTCACGGACGGCAAGGTGATACGGATGGTATTTTGAATATGATTTAATAATTATAAAACAAATAAAAATGCGTTTATTCGCATTGCTAGATTTGGGAACCCTTTTAAGTAAAATGTAATTTTTGTACTAAATTGTTCTCACTATATTAAGATGTACATTTTACCAAAATATATTAGGTTGGATATTGTCTTAATACACAATGCGAATGCGGACATATCCGAAATCTATAAATAAAGTAATATAATTTTCAGTCTTACGCACTTAATTCCTCTCAATACTTTCCTTCACCGTACAAATTAGTATTATATGGGCACATAGAAAGAATATTAATAATAATAAGAAATAAGAATATTTTAACAACACAACGACGAGAGTCGCAAGCCAATCGGCAAAGGTTCTAATATTTTCGTACCTATAAATTTACAAATTACTTCACAGTACCTGGTTTGTACGAGCATCGTATGGAATTGAATATGTTGATCCATCCGGTCTATGTATCATTCGAGCACTCATTGGTATACCATGTTCTTTTACCATAATATCTTCGAGGCCGACATCCTTTAACGCTCGGCGTCCGCGCACTGATAATGCTAAGTTGATGGATCTACCCTTGACTTGTGGGGTTTTTCGTATATCTGAAACCGATTAAAATAATAAGGTTATTTAAATGGAGGGTGTACTATTATTACCACGCCCTTATTAAAGCATTTTTATTTATGTACATAATTTCCGACAAAATGAGACAGAATGTTTGTGTATTCGATTTTATTTTACAACATAATATAGGGTACATACACAAAAATATGTATATTGAACTTTTGAATTGTCATACAATTATGTACCTATAAATATTTCACGAAGAAAGATAATTCCACCCGTTCAAGTAATGAAACGAAATTAGGGTGGGGAGTGATTCCTCATGTAGAACGTTACGATGCGGGGCGGGAATTGAATTACGCGTTATTTATTTATTTGTTATTTATAATTATTAGTACTTTTTCATTTATAATAGACTTTATACGACAAAATTGTAACTTTTAGGTATAAAGAGTCACTGGGTGGTCACGAAACGTTTTACTATTGATTACAGAAAAAAAACGTTACGGCGCGTTACATGGGGAAGGGGGGGGGGGTCAAGAATCTCCTAAACTTGCGTGGAGTAATACTTGAACGATCCCTTAGTGCAGAGCCACGCTTTGAACCTATCACCTCACGGATGATAATCGTACTCTCAAGCCACTGTATATACTTTGATTCTTTGATTAGACCACCAAGAAGCAGTGCAGGGCAATACGATAGATTGACAATTGACATTGACATTACCCTTGAGTATATTGCAGCATAATGTGTCCCGTTACAATTAGATAACAAGAGAACGGAAATATATCATTATCGACTGCTTTACGTCATAGTTCAATCAATCAAATCAAGAAAACAGGTGCCCGTATTATAATAATAATATCATTTTGACATTTACATACTTTTGGCAATTCAAAGAGTGGCACGCCATTTGATATAAAGCGATTCGTCGCTTATAGTTAGCTAAATATTTTGCCTCCCCATTAGATAAATACCTTTTCATAAGAACGCTTTTTAAACAATGCTGCGAAAAGCCAATTTTTGGATCCGCTGCCACAGAATATAATTCCGACGCGAAACGACATAGGATCCCGCATGAAAAGAGCTTAATTTTAAAGACTGGCAACGGCCTTGCGATCGGGTTATAATAGATAGAATACTATTATCTCCGTGTGGCGACTATAAAAACAAAAGACGATTGAAATAAAAATGAAAGAAAACATTTCGCGCGTTTCGCTTGAAGGTGATTGGTCAAACAGAATTGTACATTCGTCTGTGGAAATTCGTACAGTAGTAATCCTTCTGACAACAGATTAATCTGATTCACAGAGATCTTAATAATTGTTTATACATCCAATCTATTTTATGATATTTATAGTTTAAACCAAAGTAGTAATGCTGTATACTTTTGGTATGGTTTTTCGTTGTTTCATTATTGCTTTGTGCCGCCCCGAATAAATGAGTTAGGAATTTTTGCAAACGTGCATACTTAAATATTATCCAACAATATCATACATACAGATCACTGATAACCTATTTTTTTGATGTCGGTTAAAACAGGCAACGGCTTTTATCTTTATCAAGTTTTTTTTCTCACAATAAATTAACTATGTTCTTATCAGTGTTAAAACAATGACCATTACACCAATCTACTAAGGGGTTATTTCCCATCAGACAAGAGCTGTATAAAATATACAGCAAAATTGGGGGTCTAAACTGGTTACTCCAAGCGAGGTTTAGACAAATTACTAAGGAAATAGTCAAGACTCAACTATGATTCCTGTGTGTCAGTTTCTACTCTAATTCTTACTCTGAGACTTCCTTATAGCCTTTTTAATAAACCTTTTAAAACTACATCATTTGTTTAATGTTTGTAAGTGGATGGTAAAAAACATACTACTCTTTGAAATGAACATTATCGACTCGTCTCTTGCTGAACCCACCGGAATGAACTTTAACATTAATTTAGTGTATATGTGTTTATTAAATCAATTTTATATAAAAACGCGATGAGACCTCGTATATATTTAAAGTATTCCTTTAAAAGAGATAATAAAAAAGCTGTTCTCTAAAACTAGTGTTAAATATAATTAATTGATAAGATAACTATTATGGCTCGTGCGGAAATATATTGTGTAACATTTTTATTCAAGTTGCTCACCTTCGCGATATTCGTAAAGCGTAATATTATGCCCTCTTCTGGCCAAATATAGAGCTTCTAGAGATCCTACCTGGAAGTAAGTATAAATTGGTCATAGTCTAAAAAAATTACAATCCAGGGTTTTAATCAAGATGCCGTAATATGTATGTAGAAAGTCGAAAACTTAATTTGTATGAAAAAGACAGTGTCGACAAATTTTCATACAAATTCAGTTTTCGACTTTCTAGACACACTACTATTAAGGCATGTTGAGTAAGCCACCAGAGATTATAGAAAAGTCTTTGATAGTACAACCTCTTTACTGATAACAATTAAACGAGTATAATTGCACAATTTTTAAAATAAACTTTCGCCCCTTTCCGTCTGTTCAGGCTGTGATAGAAAGAGATAGATGAGTATTAAGTCAAAACAGTGGTAGATTGATTTATTATTTATGTTTAAAGTGGAAAGCTCTCTTGTCTGGAGTATTGGCAAATATACTAAAATTCACCAGGAAATATACAGCTATATAAACATGATTTAGGTTAGACTTTATTGAGTCCGTCTTCCAGGACCTGAATCCAAGAATTTCCGCGGAATTTAATATATTTGAAACTTGACATGATGACACTCGATATACGAATTGGTTATTTCATAATGTTTCGTGCCAGTGGAAAATTTTGAACTTGTCATTTATAGATTAATAAAAATTAACAACCGAAGAAAAATAAAAAATATAAGTTCATAAATATAGTTTAATAAATAATTTGAATGACGATTATGAGCTTTGATAATTTTGAGCAAAAATTAACAATTTTTAACTTATATTTGATCTCTAGCGCAAGCTAAAAATGGTTTATCAACATGTTCTCATCTCCAGTAAAATTATACAGAGGAAAGAATTAGTAAATTTGTGTCTGTACCGAATAAACTAAAAAATACTAGACCTTATTCAACACTTTTTTCACCATTAGCACATCATCCTTGAAACACACAGTCTACATTTGTTTTCAAAATATTTAAATAATAAATGTCCAGTACGAGGCCAAGAATAGTTTAAAATAAAGCACGAAATTCAATATAAAATACAAGGTTAACTAATTATTTAAAAAATTGATATAAAATTGGAACGATCTAAAAAAAAATTCAATAATTATATATTTCATAAAAATTAGACATACCAGACCACCACCGACCACTGCAATATTGAGCGGCTTTTTACCTCCATTTTCTAACATCATTTTCTTCGAGAGATGTTTATTGTATCTCGTGCAACGCACTACTGATAATTCAAGCGATCCTCGTGGACATACCAATTTATACATAACATACGATAAATACGACAAGTTTGAAGCCTTAAAGTACTCATAAGACCCGTTAACCGAAAATATTACTTGCCTTTATTGCGTGTTGCCTGAATCGTATCGTATTTTTATAATCTTCATTGATGTTGCAATAATGAATGAATAAAGTATTAATAGCTAATATCCTTAAACATTTTCGTATGTGAAAATGATAATGTTTAAAGAACTATTTCTTTCTCTTAATTTTTTTTACATGCAAACAATTTATGTTAACCCATAACCTGAAATATAAACTGTGCTTGTAAGTAAGGTGTTTTCCATTGTCTCAGTTCTATAAATCGATCTACAAAGACGGTTTTAAAATTCGAAGTCTGTTATTTTGTTTTCTCAACATTGCAGCGCGTGCATACTATATTACAATATAGATCTATTAATGGAATACTTACAATGATGACTTGAGAATGTTTTCAAACTCAATGTGTACGAATGATGCATTTGTTGTTTAGGCATATAAAGTGTTTCCTTTCATTGACATAATATTGTGTAATATTTTTTTTAATTAAGCCTAATTATATAGTTTATATATATTATTTTGGTAAGGTTTTAATCCGCAATCAAGCAAACCTCATTTGTCTTATATCAATACGAGCGCGAACTATTTTTTAAATGTAATAACTATTGCGCAATAGAAAAGTCACGATAGATTTATGTTAAGGAGCGCTCCGTGGGAGTATTTCGATCTATGCTCATACATCGTTCGAATAGAATACGTGTAGTAGTTTTTAGTCGAGCGGCCAAATTAAAATTAAAATACTTGAGTATTCGTATACGTCAATGCATTGCAACTTGGTCAACCAAGTTTGTCGGATTGGTTATGTAATTGTAACATATTCAATATTCATTAAGATTCACAGCAAAAAAAACAGCTTTAATGGTTAACTTTACAAACCAAGGACAAACAGGCTGACTCACCTGATATTGCCAGAAGTCTCGTAAGTGTGGTTAGTATTTTAATTACGGAGATTTTAAAATAAATAAAACAAAAGCAAAGTACGCTTAGTGGTTATTGATCTGCAATATTTAATGCAAAGAGGGTTATAACTGCGCCGGATCTGAGACGCTCCGACTACGCGCTAAGTCTGACTCGTGTGTTAAAACGTTTTGAACCTGAGACATAAGCCCTGAGGTTTGTAAAAGACGTTAGTCCAATCGAATTGTCACCTTTATTTCTCTGACTACGTCGCTTGCATTCCAAGCCTTGTTTGAATGATATTGTACTGCATATAATTGAAATCTGTAAGTGGCATTAAATGAAATGAAAAATGTTTTGCGTCGATTTGTAGACTAATAAATGAAGTTAAATTACTTTTTGACGTAATTAATATTACCTTAACCTTGTTGATATTTGGACTTTGATAAATTCTCTTTGTAAAAGGACCCGTGAAAAGTATGACCTTAGTGAACTTTTCAATTGTATAAGAACGAATATAAGAATCATATCTGAATAGCAAAATATTTAAACTTCCGTAACGCGTCTGTTTTATTATTAATTTAGGACAATCCGGTTCACTCAGGCTAGTCAAGCTATAAACAATTTTTGTTTCCCTAGAGATCAAACCCAGGGCCAGGGATATATACGCCTTCATTTGTAAATGGATGCAAATAATGCAGTTTTTTAATTTTTAAATGTTTTTTTTTTAATTTAGTAGATTTATGACGTACTCTTTATTTTTATAAAAAAAATATACTTAAGACACAAATTGGAATCAATAAAGAAGTTTTTACTAAGTGAAATCTAATAATAATAAAGAATGTACCTAGATCTATAATTCGATAATTGTCTTTAATTATATTTTTGAATATATTTAATAATTATGAATGTTTATCCACGTGCCATGCTTTCTAATTGTTGATATATTATACTCGTATAAGTTAAATGTAAATAAATAATGTTTATTTTCTTTTCTATTATAAGGCTTTAGTAAATGTGATTAAAATACATAAAATAGGACAAAGGTAATTCAAACGGTCAGCTATATGATCCGAAGCCGTCGTCTCAGGTTGCGTATAATCGGCTTCGACGGCCGCAGAAGACCTAATTAATATTGCTTGTTAAGAAACCACCAAAGCTTTGTTTAAAAAACTATTGTTCTGATTTATACGGTAGTAATAAAAAAAAAGTGCGTGCGTACAAAGTACACATGTCAGAAGTGAAACTTCTTTGGCAAACTAATTTTTAATTTGTTCATATTTATACAAATCTAAAACTATAGATTCCGAGGGAGGGAGGGAAAAAGGAAGATATGTTAGGAATTTAATGAGAATTTAATTGTCATTAAAATATTGGTGTCAAAAATTCATACAAATAATAAATTTAATTCTATTAATTTATTTCTTCTATAATAAAAACACGTGGCATTTTAATTTACAATTCGTTCTGTGAAATTTCAATAAATTATTTTGCATAAAATATAAAATACTAATATTTCATAAATTCTCTGTACGAAATTTTGATTTTTAAATAGAATTTCTATAATTCACCCTTCTCATTCTCTCGCAATCGGTCTCAATCACCCTCTCCCTTTTCTTCGACAAAAACGCTGCACATCTTCGTGACGTTTTTAAAAAATGTACCCTCATGCGCCTAAAGAAATATCAATCTATACTTCAAAAATTTAATCCAAAAATAATAAATATTCTTAATACTATTAACCTAAACTCTAAATTGTCTTAACCTCAGATTAGATCCGTTTTTTCGATTATTATTTTATATACCAGTAGGTGAGCTTTCTGTGTCTGACACATGTGTTAGCTTTTAATATTTATTTAATTAAATTTTTTTCTTTTATGAATTAATTCTTGAGAATCTACTACTACTCCTCGTTGGGTTGTTTACGAATTGACTCAAAAATCTCCCCGAAGTAGGAGGGTCGAGCGGAGTAGGGAATAGATTATAAAAGAGGTTGTGACACATGCGACAGGCAATTCCTTTGTTCAAGTTTGAAATTATACAGTTTATGTAAAGTCAGTGAAGTGGATTATAGTGAATCAAGTCATCATTGGAGTGTTTAATTTCGTACCCTAAGAACTAGATCAACTAGCCCATAGACATGATATAAATTTTTGGGTCTGTGACGTGCCGCAGAAAGTGCTAATTGCGCACATAGAAAGAAAATCTCCTCACCTCAAGAATGTGAGTCGTACACTCAAGCCACTAGGCCAACTCTGCTCTCAAATGCAAATTATATTCTTAGTGCATGGAAATAGAAGCGATAATATTGTGTTTGGCATAAATAAAACACTTTTCCCATATTCCACATAATTACCTAACTATGAGGAACCAGCTGCCCACTGAAGTATTTCCGAACCGTTTCGACTTAGGGATTTATTATTTTTATTTTAAGATATCAGAGCGTATCAATTCTTAAAAGGCCGGCAACGCACTTGCGAACCTTCTCGAGCGCCGCGGCGGTACATCGGATGAGCCTCCTATCCGTTGGCCCCTTGTACTATAAAATTGAATTCCTTCCCCTTCTCATGATAATTTTAAGCTAGAGCTTCTAAATATATATATAAATATTCTTCTTATCTAAAATCTTCTTCGTGATGCAGTGAAATCTCATTTAATAAAATGTTCATCGAAAATCTGATATCTCCACACTGTTTCATTACAAAGTAAAAGAAACTACAATAACAGTCAATTAACTAGAAAATTTTCATCTATCTAATATTATTAATATTTCATCTAATCAAAGGCCAAGGCTACACGGGCGGTTCTCCCGCCGCGGAAAACCGCTTCTGAACCGCACTGGACACAATTTAATATGAAGTTGTATGCTGCATACTACACTGCGCGGTTTCCCGTCGCGGCTCACAGGCGGGAGAAATACGACCGCCGCATGCAGCGTCAAACCGCCGCTGATAACCGACGCTTAAAACTACACGGACGGTTTCCCGCTATTAATATGAGAGCTGCAAGCGCAGTTATCATTGGCGGATCCATGTTGAAATGAACAAAAGGCAGCGATAAACCGCATCCCGTGTAGTTTGATGGTCTGCGGCAGCTTTGTCGAGCGGTTTCCCGCGGCGGGAGAACCGCCCGTGTAGCCTTGCCTTAATGTGGATACACTCCTAAATACGGCGAAACGGTTTACCTTAGCTCACTTAAACGGGTATCATAACCATGTGAATGCTGAGGCAGTCCAACTTCTTGATACAACAGAAACAAGACGCCTAAAGAGAACTTAACCTTTTGTATTAATAAACCTAGTGTAGAGAATATAAGTGCAACAAGTGGTATCGCGGACACACGATCAAAGTGTCAAAACATTATAGAATACTAAGGGTGAGATCTATAGTGCGCACTTGGACTTTGCTCAGACTTACCTTACGAAAAACTTTGCTTAGTGAACATTACCTTAGTTTAAGCTCTTCACTAGTGTTGTAGAAAATTAAATCAACATATTATTATTGCTTATTAGCCATAATTATTGTATATGCTAGATTGTAATTCATGTAAAGTCGGACTCTTTTTTGAACTTTATTTTAGGAAAAAATAATCTCTAATCTATTTCCTTGTCAAAAGTATTAATAATATCCGTGAATTATTTTTAACGCGTATTTTTTCAATATAGTACTAAGATAATGGTAACGTTAACAGAAATTACGGTATGTGTATGATGTTTTAGTTTAAACTTCGTTTGCATATGACATAATATCTATGTATTAAACATATCATATATAAGATATTATGTTTAAATGGTATGGAAATATTTCTAGCACGTGTAAATTATCATGTTTACTATCAAAACATTCGCATAACTCTTAAGACCTGTGATAGTTACAAAGTGTTAGGAGTGAGATATATATAGTGTGGTCGTAGTGGGTTTAGCGTGCGACTCTCATCCCTGATGTCGTAGGTTCGATCCCCGGCTGTGCACCAATGGACTATATTTATATGTGCGCATTTAACATTCGCTCGAACGGTGACGGAAAAAATAGTGAGGAAACCCGCTTACCTTCGACCCAAAAAGTCGACGGCGTCAGGCACAGGAGGCTGATCACCTTCTTGCCTATTAGAGTAACAAATGATCATGAAAAAGATACAAAAATCTGAGGCCCAGATCTATAAAAGTTGTTTTGCCACTGATTTATTTATTAGTTGGAAACTGATTTCTATTTAGACTTGCACGACAGCTCACGATGCAGAGCTATGTTAAACGCCTTAAGCGAAAAGACATTCTATAAGGTGAAGAATTATGAGTAGATGTTCTCACTGGAGGACACACTGAACGAGATAAGCATCCAACATATTTGCTAAAAGTGAAAGCACTGATTGCAGATGGAGAATATACAAAAAAAAAATTTAGACTTAAAAATATATTTTCTTGCTATTGTCCGGAACAGCCTTGCGATTCTGTAACTCACTTTTCGACCTCTCACAGCGGTTTTCACAGCGATTTGGCATTCTGATAAACAATAAACTACAAGATCCCTCCTTATCAGAATGCCAAATCGTAAAATGACTGCTTCACGGCTGATTTGAGCGCGACCGCCGCTGCGAAAACCGCTGAAAATTCGAAAAGTGAGTTACAGAATCGCAAGGCAGGAGACAACCGTAAAACATATACAACAGATAGACTCGTAAATTTTACTCGCATTTCAGTGGTACGTTGTCAGTAAGCAGAACAGAGTTTAAAGATAAAAGCGTAAAGCGGTGGGAAGCGATTAAAATAAATAAAACTTATTTGTATTTTATTTTATATCAATATATTCTCTCTCTGGGTATATCTGAGTAGGGTGGTTTGCTGTAGGATCTGGCGTGGATGATGCCGATTTTGGACCCGCCCTTCTTTTATTACGGTGTATAATTTCGAGGGTGACAAGTCTATATTTATAAATTAAATACCATGTTGAGATAACTGTACCTGTTTTTTATTCATGATGAAATACTCTTTAAGTGTAGTTTAACTAATTAAGTCCGAATAATTTTGCACATTCTATTTCTTTAATTATTTAAGGACTAATAATTAACTATACTGGAAACATAACATTTTAATACGTTGGTAACACTGAAAGTGTTTAGAATTGGTCAGTTAGAAACATTGCTTATGAAAACATTTTTGAATTTCAATTTTAGAACTCTTTGGTAACCTAATGTAGTATATTGCATTCATTTGTCATTTGTGAATTGGGGGCAAATCTAAAACTCTTGTTACACGTGACAATGAACCTGTGAACCGTACTTGAATGAACTTTAAACGTATTCGGTTTGCAGTGGCACATAATATAGCTCTGTCTCGTGCACACGGCACGATGTTCACACGTTTTTTATCGCATAGCAACCGAACAAGCGTTTAGTAGGTACCTGAGCGTCTTTTGGAGAGGTCGAGCGTATTGTTTATTTCAAAATGGCGGACGACTCTTCAATAGATAGTGAAAAAATAATTTCTTTAGTGGAACAAAAGCCTGTTTTATGGGATAAAACTCTGGAACTCTATAAAAATCGCGTCTCCACTCGAGCTGCTTGGAAGGAAATTATGATAGTAATTGATCCGACTTTTGAGAAAAAGGAAGAAAAAACAAGACAAGCCTTCGGTATGTATACATACATATGTACTTTTTATTATTAGTATGTAATAATAAAACATGTTTTACTTAATTCTATTAATGTTTTACTTAGTTATAAATATATTTGTTTTGCCATGGGAAAGATCCATCGTTTGATAAAAAATAGTGACTAAAAGTAGATCTGACGCTTTTCGCTTGAGCGTTTCAAACTGACGTAATTTGAAGATTTTTCAAAGAGTAGAGGATTTTCCACTTCTTCAAATTTGTGTCACGCATCGCACGCATGTCTTCATCATGATCACGAACCTAATTGTGTAATACTATGCATGCTTTTACGATTTCTATCATTAGACTTGGTGAAACATCATTAGCCTTATGTAGGATTCTCCATTTTCCTGCTAAGATACCAAAAGCACACTCCACATATCTTCTTGCCCTTCTAAGGCGGTAATTGAAGATTTTTTAGAAGATTTTTCCTCAAAGGAGTAAATTTTTTTTTTTTGTTATAAAAACACCGCGTAAGAGATGGGTGTACTGGATTAGACTTTCCATTTTAAGGATCAGAAGCACTGATTACACTTTCCGGAAGCCTAAGTCGGCCACTACTCGGTTTGGGAGAAAGATCTTGTTCAGTTAAAGTTATGTAGAGCAAACCTCATCGCCAACAAATACATAAGGCATACTATGTCCACCTTCTAATAATGGTCTTGGTTTGGCTATATTCAGCGAACCATAATTTTTTTTTCCATAAGATGGAGTTTTTCGATATGGTTGAATCACACTGTTTACCGTATGATCCTATGTCAACATATATAATAGTCAGAATCAATCACTGCAAGTAGCACAATGAAGAAGTAATATTTATAATTAAAGTACATGGATCCACTATGAGCAGGCTTTAAAAATATTATGTGTTTCCCGTCAATGGCACCTTGACAATGAGGGAAATTTGTCTTTCTTTCAAAACCTTCTACTATTTTCATGCATTCATTTTCTGAACAAAGCATTTGAAGATATTCTTCCTGAAGAAGATTCCACAGTGTCCGGCAAACATCCCAGATGATCCCACTTATAGTAGATACTCCAACTTTATATGCATAGTGTAAATCTTTCATAGAACATCCTGATGCTAAATACCCGAAAGAGAAAACACCCTTAATTATTTAAAGTATTCAGCAGGGTGAGACAGAGAGCCAAAGTGATCGTGACATGACGTGATAAAAAAAATAGCGACAAATTGATTCGGTAAGTTATTTTAACAAGTACCTATTATATATTTTATCAACGTCAAGTCAAAAACGTCTTGGCACTTTGTGCTCGCCCTGAAGTATTCAGTATAACTAACCATGTTTGTCTTTTACAGTGAAACTGATTATTCAGAGGTGGACTCATATAAGAGATAATTATAATCGATCATATAAAAAAATACAAGAACAGAAGAGGTCAGGAAGTGGCGCCAAAACGGCAAAGCCTTATGTTTATAGCAAACAACTATCCTTTCTGAAGAAAGTAATAGAACCTAAAGAGACAATAAGCAATGTTATTAGCAAAAATAACTACACTGAATCTGAAAACCAGAAAAACAATTCTGAAGGAAACGATACATCGGCAGCAAACTCTATACAGACACAAGTAAATATGGCCACAATGAGCCCAATACCTAAATTTATACCTAAAAGACCTATGAAAAATGCAGTTAATCCTCTAGATGCAAAGATGATGAAATTTATGGATTCTTATTCAAATAATGAACCTAAAACAATAAATAGGCATCTTTCATTTTTTAAAGGGATAATACCATCACTAGACAAGTTTGACGATGACGAAGTCCTAGAATTCCAAATGGGAGTGCTGCAATTATTGAAGAATATTAAAAGCCGTCGTAATCGTAACAATAACCAAATAAATTATTGATTAATTTTTAATTATTTCGTTTATACGTTCAAACGAATACTCAACGGACTTGTCGAGCAAATCGAATGAACTTTAACGTATTCGGTTTAAAGTGGCACATAATTATAGCTCTGTCTCGTACTCGCTCATTGTGACACCTGTGTGAAGACTGCTATTTTACACGAATGAAAATCTACCGTGTGAACACCCGGGTGAAAGTACGTTAAAAAAACGAATACAAAGAAAACGTGCAGGACAATGCCGTGTGAACCCAGTCTAACGCTTGAAAATTTTCGGTCAATGATTTTTTATGAATTTCGTTGTGGGCTTACTCAACAACAAAGCTATGATAGCCTGCGATTAGCATTTCTTAATGAAGCCCCATCTCGTGCCACTATTTACAATTGGTTTAACGAGTTTAAGCGTGGACGTAGTAAACTTAATGATGATCCGCGTGAAGTACGTTCTTTAACAGCGACTACTGAAGATAACATCAGTGCTGTGCGACGCATGATAGAGGAAGATAAGAGAGTGACCTATCAGCAGATACGGGCAAGCCTAGGCATTGGTATGAGTCAAGTTCAAAAAATATCACACAAACATTAAGCCATCAGAAAGCTTTGTACCAGATGGATTCCCCATACTTTAACCGACGACTAGAAACAGCTTCGCATGGACTGGTGTCGCCAAATGTTAGATGAGTTCAACGGCGGTGACTCAAATTCTGTATTTGACATCGTCACAGGTGATGAAAGCTGGATATATTGCTACGAGCCCAAAACTAAAGATAAATTTCGAGGTATTTGCTTTACGAGCCCTGAAGATGTGGCGAAAACGAACGAAAATGGCATAGAAGAGACCCCTAACGAAGAATGGGCCCACTGCTTTTCTCATTGGTTCCATCAAATGCGACGATATGTAGAGAGGAACAAAGATTACTTCGAAAAACAATAAAAGTATTGGCAAACTATTTCTACATTAAGCCGTTTTTCATTTTCAAAAAATTTTAAATGGTACCTAGTTATTTAAGATCTAAGTTTTAGTTTACGAGAATAATTATTTAAAAATGGTTAACGATTATAGAATTAAGAAACAATAATTTTATTATTTTCTATAACATTAGAGCTGAATATTTTTGGTACATTTTTTATATATTTTATAATTAAAGAAAACTACTTCAATTGGACACTATTTAATATCTCGTCATTATATTATATAACCCTTCATTCTCCTTAAATATAATTATAAACTTAGATTCACGGGCATAGTCTTATCCTCCGAGGGACTTAGATCTATCGCGTCTCTTCTTTGATTTCGAGAACATCTGTGGAGGACGGACTAGACAGCTTGTCTTTGTGCTCCTGAAGTTTGTCTTTGCAACCATGCTTGTGTTTATGGTTGTGCTTATGTTTATTCTTCTCTTTTTCTCTTCTCTTCTCTTTTTCTTTTTAGCCTGAAAAAAATGTGTAAGTCCATAGATGCCTGGGCATATAATAAGGGACATATGGATAAGGTAAGGGTAAAGTTAATAGAAAACCTTTGTCTGTATGATGAAAGTACCGTTAAGGAAGTTTGATTCAAAGGGTCTGCTCTGAGTCAATGCATCTAAAATTTACATGAACAATTTCACCGTCCAGGAACAGTCCTGGTTTGGAAGTGCAATCATGATGAAGTTACCGCGAGGCCAGGTGTCAAGATAATTCGGCGGTATCTGAAACTAAATAGTATCTTAAGTAAGAACATTTAATACAAGGAACAAGGAAATTAAATATAAAAAAGTGTACATAATTTTAAAAGGTTCCTCAATTATAGTACAACGATGGTCGTATTTTACACAAACAATTCAAAAACAAAACAACATTTATACTTATCAAATTTAAAAAAATACACATCGAGTTGTAAGTGCTGTCACCAATACTCGACGAAACCATGAACCACTTTTCGCTACTGTACCTACTAAATATTTTATGCGATTATTATACTAAAAATTCTTTATAGTTTCTTTAAAGTCATTTATATCCAACCATATCATTATAATAGTCCTTATACAAAAATTACTACTGTATTCGTATTTGATCATTAATTTTCGTCTAATGCTCATGCAAGTGACATTTCCAATAATTGTCACGTCATTATTTTACATAATTTTGTATTCAGAATATTTTCAGACTGTCGGTGATATTTTAGGAGAAAAGTTGAGAGAGCATTGCGTTACTTTTTTTGTCATGAAGAGTCAGATTTTACTAATATATTGTGTAGTGACATGCTATGGAGATTTGGAGCTATTACTTAATGCAAATGATTATATTTCGAACAAACCAGATAACTGCGTGAATGATTTAATCAGCAACGATTGTGGATCTCATGTAAGCATTGTCCTATCACCTAGCAACATTAAATACATTCCAATTAACAGTAATTGTGTTACGTATGTTGTAAGATCTTACGACCACAACGAATGGTTCCTAACAACAGATATTTATATCATTTATCTAAAAAGTCTGGACTTGTCTGATTGGAAGTTAATATATGATGAAATGTGGAATCCCCGAGCGAAATTCATCATTGTCATATCACATAAAGTCACAAAATTGGATTTAAAAAAGGTCTTTGATAAATTGCTACAATTCAATTTATTTAACGTATTTATAATACTTAATGAAAATCATACGCAAGTAACATTTACATATTATCCACTGAAAAAGGGAAATTGTGGGAATAAGTACGATGAAATAGTCAAACTTACATCTTGCAATGATTTAGAAAACACTTTACGTACAAATTTCGAAGACTGTACAGTAAATGTGTTAATTAAAGATCATAGATCATCTTCAGATGAGTATTTAACGTCATTCGATCAATACGTTTTAAATTTAATAGCAAAGAAAATTAAGATCAAGTTGATATACCGTTTTCTTAATACACAAATTGGGGGAACGCTTCTTCATAATTATACAATGACAGGAACGATGAAATATTTACAGAATAAAGAGGGTGATATGGTAATCGGTGGATATTTACTGAATGCCAAACGTACCATAATTTGCGACGCTATTTATGTTCAAAATTACATTATGGTCAAGTCATTATTACCGTGTAAAAATCAACATTTATGGAAAATAGCATTAACTGCATTTAAATCTGATTCTTGGTTAATTATATTAAATTCGTACATTTTTGTAGTTTTAGCTATAAGTCTAATAAGTCATATTTTTGGTTTAAGAATTAATCAGATTCGATTGGAACTGTTGGATTATTTTTTTGGCCACGGCGGTAATACTTACTTCAGAATAAAAAGACTAAGAATCATTTTGACCATTTGGGTTTGGTACACCTTTTTAATTACAAGCTTTTATAGTAGTTCTTTATACAGTTTGCTTACTACTATAACACACCGGCTTATGGATTCCCCAAATGTATCAGCTGTAGCGAATATGGGACTCAATCCGTGTATATCGGATAATTTGAGAGATAAATATATAATCAATTATAATTTGTCATTTCCTGGAGAGAAAACTGATCGTTGCTTCACAATAGAAAATGTTTTAGAAACAATAATGGCGCGAGACGACTACTTTACTCTAATAACTGAATATGATTATTATTTGTATTATCAAAACAAATCTAGAGACAGTGATAAAATTTTACATCCATGGACATTTTCTCCCTCTTTGGTTTACGTACAATATGCAAGCAAAGGATTTTATCTAAGAGACGTATTTCAAACAAAAGTGAGCCGCTTTTTTGAGTGTGGCCTGTTACAACACTATTTCTATTTATATTTCGCTAACATAACAGGAAGACAAATAACAGTTCACCTATCTACAGGCAGATTATATACAGTCTTAAAATTGGCAGATGTTCGTGTAGCTTTCTGTGTCCTTATTATGGGCTATATTATTTCATTTCTTATATTTGCAGTTGAAATTCTTAAATCGAATACAAACAGTAGAGATGTGAACTAACATCAAAATCTATCTGCTCTCATTGAATAACTCATGTTGTTAATGAAAAAAACGAAACGAAAAAAATATTGCAATTATCTATATTTGTTTTTATTAATTCCGTATACAAATCAAATGTAATGTATTGTTTCACGATCCAAATAAATTACAGTCATACAAATCTTGATTAAAATTTTACTTTGGGCTTTGGTAATATTTGGTGTAATGAATATGTAATTTCTATAACTATTGCTGCATAATTGCAGCTCATATTTACCGAACTTACCTACAGGTTTCTTATTTGTTTGTGTATAATTGTTACTTACATTTCACGATATCCAATACTATAAAACAAGGTATCGCATCTAGATTAATTAATCGTACAAAAATGGCTTCAATGAAAGCAGTGCTGCTTCTTTTTCCGATCATACTGGTAAAGTATTGTTGATGACGAGGCGAAGAATTAAAAGACTATTTTCGAAAAAAGTGTGCAGCTGCGGAAGCAGTGTCGAGCGGCGTGTAGTGTGGTCAGTGACCTCAGGCGAATGAACGAGACGATAGCACACCACACGCTCGCCCGGCCCCCGCCCCCGCAGTTGCATCACACTATTTATTAACAAACTAAACAAAGAGCAATTTTATCGTGCACATTCTCCCCCCAGTGCGTCCTGCGCACTCTCCGTCAGCAGCACGATGATCTTCTTGGTTGGCCTCTTAAGTACTCCAGCCTTAGTCTGCACCTCGACCACGCCAGGGACGCCATCTTTGCCCGGGAAAGTCGCCACGACCCTTCCCCTAGGCCACGAATTTCTGGGCAGGGATCCGTCCACCACGAGCACCAGATCTCCCAGCTCTGGCATCTTCCCTCGACCTGTAGGATCTCGACGAGACTGTAAAATGTTTAATAAATACTCTTTGGTCCAGCGTGACCAAAACATATCTGCCAGCCGTTGTGTACGCCGCCAAATTCGCCCGTGATTTAAGTCAGCGTCAGCAAAACTCCCGGGGTTGTGGAACCCTTGCTGGACCACCAAGAATGAAGTGTAACGGTGTTAAAGCTTCGATGTCCTCTGGTGA